ACATTCAATGAAATGGAGATTTGTCTTTGACATATGGCTTATAAAACAAAATAAAAATGTGATTAAAAACTCTAAAAAACTTAAAACCAAACTTTGCTAAATCAATTTAAAACATTCAGTTAAAACCATTCTAAAATACACAATACATTAGAATATGAAAACATCTCAGCAGACAGTGGTTTGTTATGTGAGGCTGCGTTTAAATAGAACCTTGTTAAGTACATTCACCGCAGAGGGAACAAATGACTTTTTGTACCCATTTTTCTTTGCTAAAGGAACCAGGAGTCTTCTACCAGATGGTACCAACCTGAATAATGGTTGCAGTGGATGAGTTGGGTCATTGTAAACCTGGATTGCCTTTTTTTCCAGAACCTGACTGTACAGGTCTGTAAGTGTCATTTGTTGATGACCAATGACTTTACTACCTTGTCTGACCACCCGGGACAACTTGTTCCTGTCTCTGGCTAGGAGGTTCCCATACCATGAGACAATATTAAATGAAACAACACTTTCAACCAGTGACCTGTACACCAACTGCAAAGTAATTTTGCTTGCATTAAAGCTCCTTAGCTTATACAGAAGGTGGAGACGCTGTCTAGCTTTTTTGTAAATATAGTCAGTGTTGGGTTCAAAGGTCAACTTGTTGTCAATTATTGTTCCAAGGTATTTAAAATTAGTCACCTGCTCTACTTCCTGCCCTTTTATAATAGAAGGCCTAAAAGTAGGTCTGGTGCTGGCTGCTCCCCATCTACCTCCCAAACAAAGTTCCTTGGTTTTACTGACATTAAGGGCCAGGAAACTGTCATCAAACCAAATAGAGAGCTGGTCTATGAGCTGGGAGTAGGAGGGTTATTGTAAACAGGAGGATGTCTGAGTTGACCTAGAAGAAGTATCTGGAATCCAAGCTGCTCCAAAACAGCTTGGAGATTTTTATGCTTTTAGTTTCTTCCTAGATTTTATGAGAATGTTTATGAAAACTTTTATGAGAATCTTTTACTCATGTTTTATCGAGTCTCTTTTAACGTTCACCTTCATAAAAGTTCCATCTTATCTTATCATCTGTTGGTTTGGACTTTTGACATGCGAAAACAGGAACAAACTCTCGGGGATTGTCAGAATGTGCGGAAAAACTGGTGGCATAACTTTACAGAACCTCACTGACCTACACAAGGCGAGGTCAGTGAACAAGGCCAGGCTAATTCTGGCAGATCCTGATCACCTTCTCAACGGTGAGTTCAGGTTGCTTGCTTCTGGATGCAGGTATCTGCTGCCTCGATGTAGGACGAACAGACTGAAACACTCATTAATCCCTGTAGCAATAAGGCTTCTCAATGAACAGTGATGATTTCTGTACAGTTATTGTGATGTCCAGTATGGATGTTTTGTGTGCCTACTGACTGTGAAACAAATTACCCCTTGTGGATAATAAAGATTCTTGAACTTGAACTTGAACTAGGTATTAATGTTTACTTCATTAGCTTCAGTTGGCCCATTACCAGTGTGTTATTGTCATTGCTTTTTTCTGCTTTGTCCCACATATTTTTAACCATCTTCATGCCTAAATGACCTGAGCCGCAGCCACAAGAAACAGAAAAATGTGTTTAAATTAAAGTCTCCTGATTATCAGCAGATCTGTTTGAGTCACTAATTATTTCTCCATTAAAATGTATTGGCTGCACCTGTGTTTGTGCATCAGCGCCGCGTTGCTCAGTCCAACAGGTCCGACTTTGTGAATGCGACCACACGCTACACTGCCCTGAATAGTAAATCTGGTCCTCAGTGTTTCCCAAAGTATGTCAGGTGGAGTTAGCGCCGCTGCCAGCGAGATGAGAAAAACCTGAGAGATGTGGCTGAATTCGGGAAAGTGGAGCAGAGCGTTAATTCGGGCAGAGCGCGGCGGTTGTGTTTGCAATGATTTATTTGCATCATCTGGTTTATTCATTTGTCACAATCACCGTCTCATTCACAGCCGACATAGCAGAGAGCAATGTGCAGTCGCGTTCATTCAGGTGAAGAACGAGATGATGCTTCTCACTGTTGCACTGCTGATTTGTTGGAGCCGGTCTTGTTCGCTGCCGCACCTCAAACTCCTTGCTTTCCACCGGGTTTTAATCAATTAATGACTCGTTGTTAAACAGCATTGTATTTAAACAACATTCTGTAGGACTAATTTTAAAGTGGTAGTTTAATGAAAAGTGTCAAATGTCCTCCTGACCAAAGCGTAGCCTTTCAGAGTCCTTGTACAAAGAACGTAACATAAATTGGACAGTTTTCTCCTGTGTGGGGGCATATTTTGACTTTTTAGTATCTTTTGTGACACTAATTATCTTACGTCTTTGCAGCCAAGTGGTACTTCAGGCAAACTTGAAAAACAAGCTCTCTTTAAATCTCCTTTTGCTTTTTTATTTCTTCTTAAACGTGAATACTGGGAATGTGTGCAGGGGAAAAAACTATTCATAAAGATCCCTATTGATACTCTGGGGTAAAAAAAAAAAAGTGTTGCACTGTAAAATCTTCCCTTTATTGTGGCATAAATCAAACTGAAGCTTTTCCTATGCAGTTGACTATCTGTAAGTATTAAGAGAGGCCACACAGAGTCTATTCATTTCTATTTTCAGAATGCCAATTATTGTGCACAGCAGCAGTTTTGGCTATTGAACCAGCTTAAGTCAAACTGTTGTAATACATTATTATCTATTTCAACCCGGAGTGGTGAGGAGATTCTCGCTGCTGGATTTTCATCAGACGAGATGGCCTGCTGAAAATGTAATTCACTGTTTTAGTATAAATCAATAAGCCTCCAAAATCTACTCCCTCATTCCCACCTTTATGTTAATACAGAAGAAATTCTCAAATGGAACTTTAATTCACCACGAATGCTTAATAGCCCCGATTTTATCTATAACAGCCCAATCGACACTTAAATTTCAAGCCCATCTTAATTTGGCTTCTCCTGACGAGTTTCAGTTCTGCTGCGCGTTGGAGTCGACGCCACAGTGACCCACATTAATAGCAATTTATAGGCTTTTGCCATCTGACGGCGATCTTCTATTTGGAATTATGTCCCATTTGGTCATTATTACTTCCTCCTCCCGCCAATGGAATAGAAAAGTGATCACTGTATGTAATGCAGCACTTTTCGTAGCCGTGCTTAAGCGACTCGGTGCAAAACATGTTAACGAACAAGTAAAAAGCGGTTAGAGTTAGAGGATTAGAGGACATTCAGACAGTTCTGATGGGGGCGAGATATAAATCCTGATGGACTCCCATCCGAGTGTGTTCATTAATCATGCGTCTCATTGGCGAGGCTCTGATTTGCCACTGAGACAGATGAAGATGAACTCAGCAATATATTTCTCATCATAACACAACCCGCACATAAATATTAATAGCATATTTTCAGCTGGTGGGCATGAATCATTTCTTAGACAGGGAATTTTAAGAGCTATCCATGCGTGTCCAAGAACAGTACATAGGCGAGCAGTTGTGATAAACAACACAGCTTTAAGGCAACACGCTGAAGAAGAAAATACTTAACTGTACCACACATTCAAAATGTCTTTATTTTGATTTCTTGAGGCAAAGTTTCTACGTGTCCATTTTTAATAGCTGACCTTTCAGTTTGTCAACACAAATATTTTAATTGAGCGAGCCGCTGTTATCGTTGTTGGTTTCCCCTTAGAACTGTTTGAAGAGCTGTCGTTTTGTCTGCAGCTGGAGAATTCCTCGTAGTTACGTCAAAATATGCACCGGCTTCTGCTGTTAATGTTAATATTTTTAATATTTTAGCTTTGTAATGAAGGAAAAAGAAATATATATTAAACATATTATCATTTTCGTAAGATATTAATTTGCACAGACAGTGCTAAACGTGTTTCCACCCAGAAAGGCCCCCGGCTGGGATTTGATGCGCCGAACTTCTCGCTGAGCGGCAACAGCTCTACCGACTGTGCCACCGTGCTACCCCAGCCCTGAAAAATAAGAATCAATATTTATAATGTTTGAAAAATGTTTGCTACAATAAAAAGCAGAGGAAAAACAGGAATAAATGCTAATGTTGCTTTGCATTTGCTGAAGTGGAAATAAAAATTGCGAACCCTTTCCAACCCGTTTATGCACAAATATTTGAATTTGTTTTGTTCTGTTTTATGTTTTTTTTTATATTAGTCTCAAATAAATACATAATTACAAAGCAGGAAGTTGTTTTTAATAGCTTTTTTAGGATTATAAAGTGGTATAAAGTAAGTAAATAAAAATGGATACAAGAAATGATTCCACATGCATAAGGACTGGGACTTTTACACATTTTTTTTATAAAATATTCCAGTGAGTTTAGTTTGTCTGAATGAAAGCTAAAGGTTGAAGTCAGGTCGTCCGACTTAAGAAAACAGATATGGAAGAAGAATTTAACATTATTTTATCAGCAGTTTAAAACACATTTTCTAACAGAACTTTGGATTCACCTGAAAGTATTTCATTAGTGAAACTGAGCACTGGTTGAGGAAGGAGCTTGGTTAAAGTGCCACCGTGGTGCAGTGATTTTGTGTTTCACTTCATTAGTCAGTCATGACGACAGTTTCCTGTTTTAATGGATCATTTAGACCTAATCAGTTCAACGCAGAATGCAGAAGGAAATGTTTTTTACTCGTTATTTCTGTATCTTATAACAACCTGCAAATATGTGTCAACTTTGTGACTAATATTTGAAGTGTTTTATACATTTAGTTTTGTTTCTGTGTTTGTTTGGGTGACCAAGAACAATGCCTTCCAGTGTTTGACCCCACATCCAGCTGTTTTCATCTAAATACCTGTTAATTCTGTTCAGAGAACAGCTGTAAATACATCTGAACATCAGGCTTATTTGAATGGTTCAAAATGTCTGAAATGTTTGATTAATAGAGTTTTGCGACTAATGAGGAAATTGTTTTTTTAATTTCCTTACTGGCAGGTGCCCATTGGGACAACATTGGATAAGTTTGTGAATATGCATGTGCTTGCAGGTGTATGACTTTCAGTACAAAGCTGTTGTGGATGGAGTGGAGACAAACAGCCTGATGGAGATTGACCCCAGCGGCCACGTTGAGGTCTTCAGGATGGGAAACGGGAGTCAGGAGGTCGTTGAGGTTCATGACTTTAAGAATGTAAGTAGTTCCTCGATTATCGCAGGGGTTACATTCCAGACACACACCCCCCCCCCCCCGCGCGATAGGTGAAAAACCAAAAGATGGCCACCAGAGCCAACTGATCTTAGCTAACGCTAAAATGGCTATAATTCAATCAGTTTTACAGCCATTGAGCAAATATATGGTGTGATAGCAGCTGAGTCAACCTCAACACATCCGTGAGCCCTAACAGATCTCACAATAATATGAGATTGTGCAAATGATCTGTAACTCTCAGCATCAGACAAGTGTAGTCCTGAAAGACAGCAGGTGAAAGACAACCCTTCAAGGAATACTAGACTTTTAACTTCCTTTTAGTTCTTTCTCCTCTTGTCACTCTAAATGGGAAAAATTGGTTTCGCAAAGCCCTCGAATCACCCGTAAAACCGAATAACAGAGATTATTTGCTCCAACAGATTCACACACATTTTCCTTTACCAACACTGTACATGAGCATCAGTAATTGATACTACAGCAGCAGGAGAAGTAGAGATTTATGTGCGCTCAACAGCCTGGAGAGAACAATCAGTCTTACTAAAAAAAGTGCTTTCTTCCAACTAATTCTACACGGTAACTTCTTCACAGAGCAGAGACAAACACCATTAAGAAGACCTTCCCTATTTGTTTCCTGCACTTTTTCTTCTGCGGCTGTTTTGTCTCCAGAACAACTCATTAACTTGCCTTTCATTCCCAAATCCTGTTTGAGTGTGCAGAAGGTTACACGTTCTCCACCTCAGGAAAAAATAAAAAATAAAAAACACGACGTGCGCTGCTTGACTGGGTAATGAATGCTAGTACTCTTACATCGTTATTTACTGTGAAATGTGAGGTTGTAAGGCTCGGTGTTACAGGATAGTCTTCATTTTAAACTATAGCATGCACTATACTATACACACTGTCTATTGTTTGATTTTTTTTTGTTTTTGTTTTTGTTTTTTACGAGTCTGCAATTCTGAAAAGAATCAATGAAAGAAACAACATAGGAAAAACTGATTTTTTTTAATCTATCTAAAAAAGTTCATATCTACTTAAATTACCATATTTTTTTGGACTATAAGGAGCATTAAGCAAAATAAGTTCATTTTGACAGATTTTGAGTGTCGTGTACCACATCAAATCGGTTCGAGGTCAGTAAGCACAACCAGAATTAATACATAAGGCGCACTGTTGATTTTTGAGAAAACTCAAGGATCTTAAGGGCCTTATAGTTAAAAAAAAATGGTACCCCTAACTTGTATGTGTTTCTGTGCAGTTTCAAAATAAAGCACACAGCAATGGGCACTAAAGTAAAACAATAGTATAATTATAATTCATTTTTAACAAAAGCAACAATTAAGGTATAGTTTTTAGAAAGCATAGTTCTGATCTTTTGATGTGGGGTTTTACGGATAAATTATGAACTGTCAGTATCCTACCTGATGCAGATAGCATTGTGAATAACCTGATTTTGGAGAACTAGAGATTAATTCTGATCAGATTGCTAATAGTAGAAAATATGAATGTGGCATAAAAGTGGATCGTCGTCGCCTGGAAATGACTCCAATGTCAAGAATTTCATAGTGATTCATGTAATTCCTATTTTATAAACCTTTACATTGTTGTTAACTTAACATTGACTATTCCTGCAGAAATGTTATGATAATTTACAGCTAGCTGCTGTTGCTGCTCGAAAATTAACTATTAATTCTATATAAATAACAGTAAATTGTAATTTATATAAAGGTTTAAAATTTGTGTTAATGAACTGCTTAAACTGGTGAATTCATTCAATTCATTCTGGACTTGGACCCACTCAGATTAGCCAAGAAGGTTAGAATTACAGTAAACTTTAAATTTTCTAAAGTCTTGCAGTTCAAAGTATTGCTGACAGGTAAGATAATAATTACTCAAAATATATCCACAAAATAAACTTAAATAAGTAATATCACTTTAAAGCTTTTTGAACTTTAAAAAGAAAAATGTTGCCTTTTTTTTATTATTATTTAGCTGTTTTCAGGCTTGAAAACAGCTAAAGAGTTTGAGACAAGGCGTCAGTTCTTGTCATGTTTGCTGTTTTTTGTTTCAGTGTTGCAGACCGAGGTGGACTTGTCATCCATCAGGAAGAAATATTTTTATGCAGTAACTGCTATAGTAATGTCTGTTCTCTGAGTGTCTCTAATTTCCACCAATTACTGTTTAAATATCACCAAAGAGAAACCAAAATCATGTATTTGTCTTTAGCCTCCTGGTGCCTAATTGATTTTTGTTTTATGGTTTTTCTTTTCTTGATAAAGCTAAAAACTAAACAAACGAGGGGGGGGGAAAAACTGTCATTTAACGGAAAAATAAGTTATTTTCATATGAAATTATTTTATGGTCCACAAAAAAAAAAAAACTCATGTCTCAAAACAGGATTTTCCAAAATGTATTTTGAGGTGAAAAAACTTAGCTGTCATTTTGGATTTGATAAATCACATGTCACCGTTTTAGATTTAACTTTAAAACATCTTGTTGCTGCAGTTGACTCGGCCAAGAAAAAAAATGCAGATAGATTATTCCTGGATTGTTCTTTACATTTTTTTGTAAATTGTCATTGGTTGTAGTTTATGCTATAAATAACACATGAAATTTGCCCCAAGCTAAAAAAAATAAAATACCAAACTCTAAAATGACTGGCAAGGCTGGAATAAAACAGTGTTTGTGATTAGATGTCCGTCTAAGTGAGGAGACCTGTTGCCCTTGACAATACAAGCTCCATTAGGTGTACCCATGCATCTCTATACAGGCGTCCACAGCAGCTTTGTTGTTGAGGGATTTCAATTGCTGTTGCCACTTAAAGCTTGACCTCTGATCCCCATTTGACCCCTCCATGCACGGAAAACCTACAAAACAAACCCGAAGGCTGAAACGTTGTGTTGACTACATATAATGACTTTAAATAAAAGCTGTGACATTTGTGAACTCTGCTCAAAGGTTCTGGCACTGAGTGGTGGGAAATAAAAGGAGCTCGAAGGTGCACGAAGTTAGGATGAGGCAATATTTTCAAAGTTCCATTGACTTTTCTTTATATGATTATAAGAAAAGGAAAGGAATGCAAAACAATGAACATACTGGAGCTCAACATTTTTAAGATCCGAGTGCTTGATTAGCTTAAGATTTTGGCTGACACCATTTGGAAAGGTTAGGTGAAAGAAATTTAAAAAACTTGATAAATATCTGATCCCTTAAACCTTGTTCCAGCAATCAGCAGCCATGAACCCCCTCCTAGCAGCACCCTACCATTATGAAAATTAAAGCAGGTGGCGACTATTAGAAGTTAGCAATGTTTTTTGTTTTTTTTAATAGATGTTTCTTCTTTCTGTAACGTAATTAAGCAACAAGAGTCACCATAAGTCACAGTCATCAAGTTGAGGGTCAATACATCAAAACTGCTTGTAAGAAAGTCCGAAAAGAAACTTTAAATTGACGTCAAAAGTCCCTCAGAAAGAAAAACGTAACATAAAATGGCCTCAGTGGAATAAAATGTTTTTTTGTGTTTTTACCACTAGGTTTCTAATTAACATTTAAATAAGTTAAAACAAACTGTTTAGTGGCAATGAAAAGGCATGTTTTGTGAAGAATTTTTTAAAAGATGTACATTTAAACAAACTAGTAACTTTTAAGCATGGCGGTGGATCAATCATGGTTTGAATAACCTCAAGTGTCAGACGAAAATATGAGCAGGAGCCTTTTGGTCCTCTATTTTAAAATGTACAGAAACTCTTCTATAGACATTTAAGAAAGGCAAGTAAGCTTGAATTAACCTAATAATAATAATAATAATAATATTAATATTATTAATAATAATAATAATAATAATAATAATAATAATAATAATAATAATAATAATAGGGCAGCACGGTGGCGCAACTGGTAGAGCTGCTGCCTCTCAGCGAACAGGTCCCTGGTTCAAACCCCGGTCCAGGGGCCTTCTGGGTGGAGTTTGCATGTTCTCTCCGTGCATGCGTGGGTTTTCTCCGGGTACTCCGGTTTCCTCCCACAGACCAAAAACATGCATGTTAGACTGATTGGTAACTATAAATTGTCCCTAGGTGTGAGTGAGAGAGTAAATGGTTGTTTGTCTCGTTTGTCTCTATGTGTCCCTGTGATGGACTTGCGACCTGTCCAGGGTGTACCCCGCCCCTCGCACAGTGATTGCTGAACATGGGCACCAGCGACCCCCGGGACCCAAAATGGAATAAACGGGTAAAGATAATGGATGGATAATAATAACAACCTAAAAATTAAAACAAAATTGAAAACTAAATATAAAAAATTGCTAAAAACAAAATGAACAAAAAGTCATGTCAGATGTTTTAGAGTTTCTCCCGCGGTGTTTTTACAGACACTTTATGTGCACTGCGGCCTTTTATTCACAAACACATTAAAAGATCACTAATATAAACCTTTTAGAGAAAAATAAATAAAGATATGAATAATCTCCAGCTGTGGATTTGATAAAGATCTAGAAAAACACAATCTGCATTTATCTCTTCTGTTTCTTTAAAGGAACTCGAACGTTAAGGACTGACGCAAAATACTTCTACTACAGTTAATCATGAAAAACACAAGGAAGAAAAAAATCCTGTTTACGTTAGTTTAGGTTAGTCTAGTCAGTCTAGTTTAATCTAGTCTAGTTTAGTTTAGTTAAGTTAGTCTAGTCAGTCTAGTCTATAATAGTCTAGTTTACGTAGTCGAGTCTAATTTAGTTAGTCTAGTCTAGTCAGTCTAGTTTTGTCTCGATTAAAGTAGTCTAGTCTAGTTTAGTCTAGTTTAGTCTAGTTTAGTCTAGTTCAGTCTAGTTTAGTCTAGTTCAGTCTTGTTTAGTTTAGTTTAATTTTGTTTTGTTTAATTTAGTGTAGTCAGTCTAGTTTAATCTAGTCTAGTCTAGTTTAGTTAAGTTGGTTCTAGTCAGTCTAGTCTATAATAGTCTAGTTTACGTAGTCGAGTCTAATTTAGTT